GACAAGAAGTACACCCTGAGCATGGATTAACTCATGTAACAGTAACCAGTGTTAGAGAAGCAATGCTTTGTATCATATATGTCAACTAGTTAAGGATAAATTCTTCATTTCTTCCCATCACACTTCTTACCCACTAGGCTAAAGTCTGCCTTCCACCCAGAAGGTACATATTCCCAAGTAAAATATTCTACATATGAAATTTTAGAATTAATTATTCCCAAAGAACTTGTGTAGGGAAGCTCTAGGGTACAGCTCTGTTAATTTATTTTACACATGCTTGCTGCCAAGTTAGGGGGTTTTACAATTTCACAAGAAGTCTTCCTCTGAGGAATTGCTTAGAAAAATTTGTTCAGTTTTGGTGTCCTGTGATGAAGGAACAACTCCAGGTTACCAGCTGAAGTAAGCCTGACTGCAGCAGCCTGGTGGGTTAAGAAGGTTAAGAAGAAAAAAGACCTGTTAAATTTTTTGCTGCAACTGAATCACTAGAAAAGTGAAAAAGGGAAAAAATTAAGGCTATGCCTTTCCATCTGCTTAAGGCTAAACCCTTATTTTTAGTTTATTTCTCATGCAGTGACTTTGTCTTTGCAAACTCTTTCATGCGAGGCATTAACTAAGGCTGAGTTACTGGTGTGCCAGTGATGGTATCCAGTAGTTACTGAATATAAACCCGGGTGTTTGTGTGCTCTGAGTCTTTGCCTCAGTAATATCTTTAAATATAATAGTCTCTGCCTGTTGGCTTGTTTTCTCATAGGGAGGGTGACAGAACATTTTGTGTTCTCTTATCTTCAATAGCAATGAAACAGGAGGAGCTCCACAATGCGAAACCAAATCTACTGCTATTAATACAACATCCCAGCCACAGAGAAGAGATTTGTTTATTTATCAAAGCTAGAGATGCTTCTCTCTGACCTTTCTTGTGCTTGTGTGCTTTAGCTGGGAATAGATTCCATAGAACTGGGTGCTCTTTTAAAAATATACAGTAAAAAAAATACACACAACACCCCCGAAACAGAGCCCAGGCTGCAGCCCAAATTTCATGGAGTGACACACAGCTTTGGGTAGTTAGAATCAGTCTAACTAGGGCACAGTCCATATTCAGTTTTGATTCCTCTGCTAGAGCACAGAGATCAGTCAGCGCTCCAAAGCCCACTCGCCTTCCTCGCTGCCACTCAGCGACACGTTCTGACTATAACCATACATGGGCCCATTTTCTGTCTGAGGCCCAACAGCTCCCTGCAGCCCAAGAAACCTGCCAGGAGGGATCTTCTCCTTCTCTGCATAATTAAAAAGTGCTTCACACTGGAAGGTACTTGGTTTAAAAAAAACCCAAACAAACCAGAGATTCTTTTCCTGGAATTCGCCTTGCTTTACCTGGGCTTTAAACCAGTGAGAATCATCACATACACAAATCAAACATATTTTGAAGTATCTTTTTCACATCTGGTTGTGTTTAGTGACCTCCTGGACAACTTAAAATAGTATCTGGGAGAGTTAAATCTTGCATTAGTTTTAGGGATTCAACCTGGTTTAACCTCACAGACTCAGGATTTTTTTGTTAAGCTGGTGCATCTTTGGTTTAGCAAGAGCCTGGATTTGGTGCTCCTTGCTGGACAGCCTTGCACTGCAGCTCCTCAACTTTCTGCTCCTCAGAGGCAGCAGCCCTGCACCACAGCTAGCAAAAAGGAGTGTGGGTTGGTTCCTCAGCCCCCGAGTTCTCCAGCTCAGCACATTAATTCAACTTAGCCCTAATTTTGGTACCTGCTCCATGATTGGTATTTTCATCTAAGCAGACTAATAATGACTTAGAGAAGCAGATCTGGGAGTAGGAACAGGAAACAAGGGAAGGAACTGGACCTACATGTCCTGATTCTAAAGTAACAACCATTACAGCATTTATAAAAGGGAAGCAGCAGTTATGCCATGTCCTCCTCCAAGAGTTACAACAGCAGGCAGCACCCAGGCCCATGGTTTGACAATGTCAATCACCTGTAGAATTAGAAGTAAGAGCCAAGAGTCCAAAACATGGACTGTCTTTTCTGTGTAACCACTGGGAAAAATTATCTATAAATAAAGCCTTCCAAATATTATTCTTAACCGTACATCAGTCTGGAAGGCCAAAAACCTGTCTTTCATTACTCCAGAAACTACTTCACACTTCTGAAGGAACTGGTTTAGGAGTGATGCATCCCCTCATGCTCTGACCAACTTCACACTTCATTTTTTATCCAAATCTAAGTAACAGGCTTTGGAGACCTTGTCTGTATTCCTTCCTACTCAAGTCTGTTCCATCTGCCTGATCCCCTTGGTGACTTTATAATACTTCTTTTGTGTCACCACAACTCCTGCTGCCTCCCAGTCAAACTTCCCACACCGATCTGCACTCCCTGCTTTTGCATCTTCACTGTCTACATCTGCAAGTACACTAATAAGGGCTTGTTTGTGTGCACCAAATTTACTGTGACCACTTTCACAGTTCAGGTTCAGGCAGAGAACTCTGCACACACAGCAAAGCTCTTCTCCACGGAAAAATGTCAAAAAGCAGGAATGAGGGGAAAGTTCTGTGAGTAACCTGTGGAAAGGGGTCCCTCACCCTGCCTGATTAACAGCTGGGGCTTCTCCCTGGCAGCTGAGACTGGTGATGTGAGAGGTTAGGCAAGAGTGGGAGCAGATTCCTGTGGGGCTTCACCAGCCAAATTCCTATCTAGCAAAAGGTTGCTACAGCAACTCTGAGCCTCCTGAGATACAGAAATTATTGTAATGGTTGCTGAAATGCCTCCCCACTGCTCTGAGACAGGATAAGGAAAATCCTTCCCTTTGATACAGAATTGTTGCCCACTGCCACAGTTCACATCAGCTCTATACAAGCACCAGGCTTCCTGAACTTGCCAGGAGCACTTGGCTACTTTTCCCTTTCCCTTATTTACATGCAAACATAGAAATAATAAACCTAAACATCAGACAACAAGAACTACAGTTCCAACACCTTTTTTCCCATGGAGGCTGTAAGAGAAAAAACAAATCATGTGGCAGAAGTTAATATACTGCTGAGTGGGCTGAACAGAATTTAGAAACCTGTACAAAGCCAAAATATGTATTTTCCAGAACAGGGTTTGTGATTTTCAAAAACCACATAGATAGAAAAAAGCATAAACAAACCAAAGCAGGACAATACCCCTCAGAGCTTCTCAATGACTCAATGTCAGCAGGTTTTTGGCTGCCTCAGCCTGTGCTTATTTTCCTCTGGCATCTGTCCTGATCCCAGGTCGTTCAGTCCACTGGACTATGTAATAAATACCAGACAGAGATGATGCTTTAGACAGAACAGGAACACTTGTGACTGAAACAGGTCCTGAATGTAGAATGGGGTGGCCTAAGGACAATGGGGACGTAGAAGCAGCAAGTGATGTACACTGTAAGTGGAAAAATTTTCACAGAACTCTCATTTCCCTCCTTTTCACTTTTCAGCAATCCAGTTTGGTCTAGAAGCCAAAAATGAAAACAGCAGAATTGATGGTCTGAAGTAGTACCTATGCTTACCTGAAATAACTAGATGACATTTTTAAATATTTCTTTACAAACAGGAGTCATAACTTTTATACAGAAGCCCAGTTTTAACCTGAGCATTACATTTTGGCCATGACAAAAAAGACTAAATTTCTCTGGGTATAAATCCAGTCAATTCCATGCGTTACCCTCTTTTTGAATTTGACCCAACATGCCTAAAAACCCCTTTGGGATGGTTCAATTCCAAGCATTGCACTAATCCAATATCCTGCAGCTCTGAATGCTGTGATATTCGGTGTCAGCACACGGCATCTGAGACTTTTTGACACAATCTTGGTGCCATTAATAGAGTATTTAATTGCTTTTTCACTTTTCACCAGGTTTGTGAGCTTTTGGATTCACACAGAAAAGCTTCAGAAGAAACCCTTCTTTCAGTGTGACAGAATATCTTGCTCAAGTCAGAAAATTTTTCTTTTTTTCTTCTCTCAGTTTAGTGTCTACTGTAAGATGATTTTCAGAGATCAAGAAAAGCATATAATGTTTAAAACAAAACATTTGTTAACTAAGGATTTCCTGGATATTTCTGCTTTCTTATTTATACTACGTCCTGGACCTTGTGAAATCACTGTTTAACTTTCAGTATTATTTATGGAAGCAAGCCTGTTGCTGTTTCCAGATCTCACAGAGAACTTTCAGTTTGCAGTTTCAGTACCAGGTGTATAGTCCTGGTTTAAATTAATCAACTAAAAAAGCAATATAAAATAAGTATTTAACCCTCTCACACCATGGGTCTTCACAGGTAGGGTGTTTTTCTACCTCTAAGCTCTCTCACTGGAGTCAGGCTCCTGAGTCTTCCAACCTTCCTCTTAAGACTATGACAATTTGGAATTTGGGAATGAACAGCCTTTTCAGAGCAGCAGAGGTAAGCACTAATTTTGGGGCTTTTCTGTAGTGCACAGAGAGAGATTTGAAATATTGCCCCCTTGGTTATATATACAAAATACCAAAGCATGGAAAGAGATTCTAGGAAATGAACAAATTTTATGAGGCTTTGCATGCTGTCACTATTGATCAAAACTCTTCAATCCACAGCAGAAAGAGGCAGACAAGGCATAATTATTCAGTGCACTGGATGTGTGATAAATCATTATCAACTTCTGTGCTGTCAGCATGACTACTCTGACTTAGGAGCCACGAGGGAAAAAACAGCTTCAAGTGGGACCCTCCTGAGCACATGGCCCTGGATTTGCAGGCTGTAGCACTATGTGCTGTCCCTCACAGCTGCACAAACTGAGTGCAAAGAGATTTAAAACGTGAGCAAATCAGAAATCAACTTTTTACATTCATTTGCGTGGGTAGAAATGACCGTGCATACAGAAAATTCACGTGGCTGCTCCAAGCAAGGCTGGAAATGGTCACACAATAAGGACTACAATGAAAATGATGACAGAAATAATAAATAACTAATTTAAAACTCTGCTCAGGTGCTGCCTTACCTTGCAGTCATCTTGCTGACACCTGTATTTTTGTGTTACATGACACAGGATCACTGCTCAGGCTCCAGCACCACACCAGCATTGGGGAAATCCACTCAGGAGGCTCCTGGGATGACACACAGAGTTTGCAGTCTAATGATGATAGAAGGATGAAATATTGTTGTTTTCCAATGTTGTTTTTCTTTTAAACCTGGGGAAATGCATCCCTTAGTCTTTATTTAAAAGAGAAAATAATAGGACTTCAATATCAAGTATGCAGTGAAATTAGAAGACTTCAGTGTTAGGAAAAAAAACAGGAAAAAGAAGCCAGGAATCTTGTAATTAAAGATGCCTTCAGGGCATATGCATGGAAAGGCAACCTTTATTCTGGCATTTTCTAACTTCAGTGTACTTGCAAATTATGCATATTTTGGCAAAGATTTTGTATCTGTAAAATGTATATATTATATATAGAACTGAATTAATCTCTGATATATTTTGCCTCATAAATACAGTTTCCTGTTTCCATGCTAGAATCTACAGCATTAACATATTCACATGCCAGTTGCTGGATTTATTCTTGATAATTCAAAGGCTGAGACTGGCTGTGCTCAGCCTCTCCAAATTTCAATCTTATCTAGCATTTTTTCTGAGTCACCCAGATAAATTATCTCAATGTCCTGGTAAAGTGACTTCTCTTGTCCAGGGGCTCTGGAGATCTCCAGTTTTTTTTTCCCCACATCTGACACACAATTACGGGCTCAAATGCTAAGACTGATGAACAGAATTTTTCTTCTTTTTCACTGATTTAATTTTTGAGAATGTGTAATGTTGTGCCAAGAATTTTTAAATAAAAGTAGTTTTAAAAACACTATGTTAGCAAGAGTGTGGCAAATTTATTTCAGTATGTAACAAACCACATAAAGAAAAAGCAACACAATGAATCTGATAATAATCTTCCTGTAGAATTGGAAAAGTGGAAGAAAGGCTGGAGAAGAAGAGACACACTAATTCATCTTCTTGCAAGTCATATAAGAATATGACATATTCATTTGTACTTGAAAAGAGTATTTCATCCTCCAGGAAAAAAAATGTTTTCTATAAATTTTTTTCCCATAAATTAAATAAATGACCTAACAAATTATAAAATAAAAAAAGAACATATTTAACTTTTATTGCACTCAAATATTGAATTATACACATGGTTCATTTTCATTCATGTCTTCTCTCTGTAATAGAAATGTTCTGCAAAAGCAGCAAAACTGCTTTTTGCTGCTGCCTTCAAGTGGAAGTTTCTCTGTGTATTATGCAAACATTTGAGTCCCATTTAATTCAGTGAAAACTGAAGCACAAGGAGTCAGGCACTGAGGCCTCTGTTGGACCCAGGAGCCAAGCACAGACCTGCAAACCCACCCCATGGCCTCTTCCCTCTTTCCTGCCTGGGGACACTTTGAGGACAAAAAGGCAGGCAGAGCACCAAGCACCCTCTGACAGGCTCAGGGAGCTGATGTGCCCACTGGAAACACCCCAGATGCCAAGAACACAAACCACGTTGGGATCAGGAAATCCTGACTGCCTCCAGGGAGGGGTTAATGAAGGATAAGTGTGTACATTTGCTGTTTGGTGCTCAAATAGCACTTCCTTATGACAGTATGCACTACTTAATCTGCAAAGGTCAATGGATTGATCTTTAGTTCCTTCCAAATGCCTGTGCAATGAACTTTGTCATTTTTCATACATATTTCTCAGCAAAGAACTGGTGGTACAGGTTTGAGGCTTAAAATGACTCTTCAGCTGCAAACACCTCTCACTGCACTGTATTTCCACACCCCCCCACAGCTTTAGAACTCACTCCCCTGTAGCCTCACTCTCAATTTCCACAGAACCTTGCACAAGCTAATCAATAAGAAGTACAATTACTAATTTCCTTTTAATCCTCTTGCAATATAAATGATCAGCCAAAGTATTGAACGTGCAACACAAGTGCAAAGATGTGTAGGAAAATGGAGATATTATCCACCTGCAGTGTGGCTGTGGTTAACAGCAGCTTATTCTGCATTAGATCACTTTAAAAAAGAGGTGGAAATATTGCAGGTCAACAGCTTGTCCAAACTGCATAAATGCCCAGAGAATGGGATTGAATGAGCACAGCCCTAATCCTGGGAGCTAAACCACACAGCTGCTGCTCCCCTTTCCCCATGTGGTGCTCCACTGGAACCAGGCATGCTGCTGTGGACACCCAGACCCCAGGTTTGGGATATATTCTGACCCAGTGTGGATGGTTGGAATAGCACTGGAAATCTCCATGCAGCACCAGGACAGCAGGGTTTAACTTAGCAGGTAGTGGAATGCACAAGCACAGCACAGAGACAAGACTGGGGAATTAGGCTGCTGGCAAGTAGCAGCTGAAAGCTGATTGAGCACAACAGATTGGGCTTTCAGACTGGACAGATAGGCAGCAGCTATTTAAATGGAGTATTAACAGTTTTGCTCTTAATTATTTCCAAACCTTCCAGCTCATGCAAACTCAGCACGACATGCATTTTGGCCTCAATTAATTATTTGTTGTTTCTGTGTGAATCCAGCTAAAAGAAGGCTGAGTGGTTTGTTGAGAATTTCTGCCTCTTTAAAATCATTCTCTTAAGTGCTTGGCTTACTTCTGCAAGCAGCTGTCATGTAAGTAACTGAATCTACGCCTCACAAAAATGGTCACTTTCTCCATTTCAAGTGGAATTTCTTTCTGAAATTACACTGCCCTGAAATTACACTGCCCTGAAAGACAACAAATGGTCACCACTCTGCCCAGTGGCAGGTGGAAGGCCATGAAACTCCAGAGCTAAATGTGGAAACTCTACGCCTTCAGAAAAGGGAGATTCCTCTCTTGCCTGTCTTGCATCTTTCTTTTTAGTCTGGGAGGAGCTGACTTGGAGGCATTTCTATGTCTGGAACAGCTTTTTCTAGAATTTTCTGGAAGCATTTATTAGGAATTTTTCTCTCAGATCTGTGCATAGTTAGTCATGTGAAAGCCACAACAGCTGGTTTACACATAAAAGAATAAACAATTACAAATAAAAATGTCAAACCCCTCCTAAACATCTCTGAAATAAGGGAATTATCTTCAAACATATCTTCAAATATGCTTGAACAGACTGCTTTAACACAGCTATTTCCAGAAGTGGTCTGTTTTCATATCTATACTTTCTATACATCCTCCTTAATACACATTTTGAATACCTGAGATCTCTCATCAATACTAATCCAATATGGATCCAGACACACAATAGCACTTGTGACAGATGGGACAGAATGTTCTACATGACATTTATTCAGCTTCTGAGAGGACACACATATAAAGCTTATGGCAGCATAAAGTAAAAAAGGTTCATGGAGCCAACACACGGTCCAGTGTACAGAGAGTGACTGACACAAAGCCAACCCATCCCAAAATCTGACACTTATTTTCACTGTCATGGTGAATTTATAGCCTGAGATTTTTATAGTATTTTCAACAACAACAACAACAACAACTCAAAACAAAACAAAAACAAAAAAAAACACCCAACCCAAAGCCCCCTTCAATTTCTGCTTTTTATTTCACTGCACTTAAGAGAAGGAGAATGTCCTCTCATCAAATTGACATGAGAATGAGTTTAACTGAGCCTCTTTCCTAATCATAATAATTGAATTGATGCTTCTTTGAGCCAAAACAGTAAAAAATAAACTACTGGTACTGCTTTGGTGTATAATGGCTTTCAGGCCTCTTGTTTGGATGATTCAGAAGGAATCAAAATGTACAGAAAGAGTAACAAAACCCAGTCTTGTGTCAGCCAGGATCAAACAAAAGGATTAACTGGCAAGTCATGGTTTCCAGTGGCAACCACAGTTTTTCAAGCAAAAATTGTTAATGGATAGGATATGAGGGGTTTGATTNAAAAAAAAAAAAAAAAAAAAAAAAAAAAAGGACATCACATTTAGTAGGAGTTGAGATGAGCTGCATACATCCCATGCCACATGGAAAACATCTCTTTCCCATCAGCCAAAATGTCTGTACAAAAAGAAATATAAAAACAACAGAAGCTCTTCATGGCTGCAGCACATCCAGCATAAAATGGCTATGAAATGCCCCAAATTCCAGTATTTTGAGGCCTTAACAGGTATCACAAAACCACCCAAAATTTGTCTCAATACATCACAATACTGAATGGTCCAAGTTTTCTTATGGAAGATGAGCATCCCCAGGCTTTGAACCTGCCAGATTCCCACAGCTCAGTGATTAGACTTTTTTTTTTCCAAGTGGTGCTTGCCTTTAAAAGTCACTTTAATCAGAGGAGATCTCCCAGCTTTGCAGAGCACCAGGGAATTCTGCACAGCAAATATGAATTAGCAAATCCACTTATCCCTTCCCACAGCTGTCATAAACAGGTGCTGCATGAACACAGGCCAGAAACAATTCACATCTTCACCATTCTCAATGAGATTTTAATTTGTCTTTCTTCTTAGCTTTTTTCTGTGACATTTGCAATGAGCAGACTCTTGTATCTGCAAGGTAATCAAGTTCACATTTGGGAATGGTACATGAACTCTACACACTGCCCCGAGGCCCAGGCCTGAAGGAATTCCAAGTGTGCAGAGATGGAATATGCAAAGACAGGAATAGGAGGTGGTTTAACCCAGCAGGCAGCCAAACACCACACAGCCCCTCACTCACACCACTCTTAACAGATACTGGCAGGAAAATTAACTCTGTCCCAGGCAACACCAGGACAGAGGAGCATGGTGACACTGCTCACTGTGAGAAGGAAAGTGCATTTTTGGACTGGGGAGGCAGAGGTGCATGGAAAATGATGTGATTTGGAACAACAGTGCTTCTCCCTCCCTTTGCACGGGTACAAAGAGCTCCACAAGTGTTGTTCCAGTTCAGTGCTGCCTCAGCTCCCCATGTGAAGGCAGCACCAGCTAGTAGTGGAGCAGCAAGAATGTTGGTTGTGTTCTCCCAGCGCTGCAAAATTTCTGGCTGCCACACCTAAATTATTCCTGGAGTACCTGGTGCTCCTCCTCCCCCTCCTGCACGGCTGACTGAAGCTACAACGTGGCCCT